GCTATGGCGCCCAGATAGGGACCGCCGACACAGCTAGGCCTTCGCCCCTCTGCTTACCTACACCTCTACATCTACCTCCAGCCCAGCACTGTAGTGTTGCAGCGTTGCTCCAGCAGCGTGTCACCAAAGAAGTGAGCTACTCGAACTGTGTCCTCCCCTGGTCTGGCCCAGCTACTTGTAGGGCTGGGCCTCGCTGGTGTTCCTGCGTGTGCCTCTGGTCCTGGCCTTAAACGTGGCCTGCCCGGGTCCCTATTGGACGTCCAGTCCCTCCCTGCTGATGCAGCAAGGAGTGTCGGCTATCGRACAAACGCGGACCTGGCCCGAAARGGCCTGCTTGCGTTCGTCGTACCAGGCCCGAAGTGTGGCCTTTGTCCGAACAGACACAAGGTCTGTTCGGACGTACTGCAAGTCTGAACCGATGCCTGAACGGACAAAAATAGGACAGCACATAAATAAATAAATAAWTAAWTGAATGCTGTCTCAAATGGAAACCTACGGCCGTCAGGCCGGCCGCGGGCCTCTAGGGCACGCGCCTRAMGTGTAAGCGGCCTGGGGGCCCCCAAAAACCGTCGGGCCCCCAAMATGGGGTCGGGCCAGGCTCAGCATGTAACACCCCCCCMTCCTTATGAAGTCGGGTCGACGGTGAAGTTGACAATCCAAAGGTGGAACCTGGACGCGAGTACGGCATGGAGCCGAAGGTGTCGGCTTGCCTTGCTGTTTACGTTTGTAATGTGCGAGAACATCGRAGGCTGTAGCCTGAAGCTCCGCACGGGTCAACCAACGGTCAGCGTTATGGCTACAATAAGAGAAATGTACTAAGTACTCTGTCGGCTTGGTGCCGTAGCGCCGCTGCGAAATGATGTCGCTAACCTCTTGAAAATCATCCATGGAGGGTGGGTCTTGCGATCGTCGCCCAAGAAAGTCGTCGCRTTCCAGAGAAACAAAACGAGCCAACTTTGAACCATGGAAAACCAGCTAGACGGGCAAGTGGGCAGGCACCCGAACGACAAATGATTGTCCTTCGGGTGCTACAATGCGCCAAGGCCCCATCCATTTCGAAAGGAGCTTGCGAGAGATATCTTGAATTCTGGGGCGGAGACCCAAACAAGGTTGTTGGCGAGGAACGGACAAGGAAGACGTTGACGATTGGCCTGTTGGCTCATGCGTTGCTGCGTCTTCCAATCTGGTCACGTGCCTTGACAAGGAGCTCTTGCATCCGTCRAATAAACATAAGGYGGTCATCGCTCTCGGTCGCTCGTGGGATGATCGTGTCCAACGGCCATGTCACCGATGAGCCACGCTAGAACTCAAAGGGCAATATCCAGATARCCGGATGAATGGACGAGTTGTAAGCCAACWCGACGCCCGGCAACCACTCAACCCAATCCTTTTGTTTGGATCAGAGGAGGGGGAAGAAGGACCTGTGCGGTTTGATGCGCCCTCTCCGTTTAGCCATCGGTTCATGGGTGGCGAGCCGAACTCGGCTTGAGAGATGAGCCCCATCGTGCAATGAGCGCCAACCAAAAGTCGACATGAATTGAGTGTCGCGATCACAAACGATTTCCTTGGGGTAACCCTCGGTTCGAATCCAACCACCGAACAGAACTTCTGCCAACTCTGGTGCCTTGGCGTGCTAGCGACAAGGCAAAAACATGGTGAACTTCGTGAGTCGATCGACCACCGTGAGAATCCCATCCATACAGGTCTTGTGCTTGGGGAACGGCCCGGTGCTGTCCATGGCAATCGATTCCCCTCGTCCTAAGGGGACCGGTAATGGTCGCAACTCGCCGAACGAACGATGATTGGGGGATTTGCAACGTCGGCAAACCTCTCATGCCTCGTAATAACGTTTGATGTCCCCGAAAAGGTCGAGCCACTCAAAGCACTCGCGAAGTCAGCAAACCGTACGATGGATTCAAAGTGTCCAGTGGAGGGAGGGTCGTGGAACTCGCCAAGAAGCCACGTACGCAAGTGTGGATCACTTGGCATGCAAAGAAGATCCTTCCCCCGCAAGTGGACTAGCAAAAAGCCCTTTTGGATCCGATAGTGCGATGGCGCCGAATTCGAAGAGGAGCAATTTGCATACTTGCAAGTTGTTGTTAATCTCRAACGTCGAGTAGACCGTGGTACAATGGCACGGACGTCGTGAAAGGCATCCGCAAAACAGTACATGAAATTGAATAGCTTCAAGTATAGCCATGCAATTCTGATTTGCATTCACTATCACCAAGCAATCTGGAATATCGTTTGTAACAATTCCTTCAAAGCATTTTTTCATTTTTTTTTTTAAGCATGGCACCTTGCGAATATGTTGTGTTGTATCTRAAGCTTYSAGTGATAAGTTTTCATAYTGTTGAAAATGAGCTTRTACATGAAAAATGTACTTCCAATTGRTTAAAAAACCTCCAATCCAKTTATGATTTATACTACTTGACTTTYCTGGAATTTGATCGGGGAAGAAGTCAAACTGGTCGATGAAAGCCAGMCAACAGGCGATGGTGATATTAACCGTGTTTTGGGTCTTGTACAAGACCAACGGATTGTTATCCGTTCCGTTACCCATCGAAATTGACTTCGACCAAGAAGAAAATATCGCCACCGCTTAAGCGTGTGTACATAGGCTAATAACTCATTCCGTGCATCGCCAATCGAATGCACAACGGACACTTTCKTMMTGAAGTATTCGACCGAGTGCCAGTCCACGYCATCGTGTTGCTCGAGGACGGCACCAACACCGTAGCTGGATGCATCGGTAGTGACACGCGTCAGCAAAAGCGAGTAGTAAATGTGTAAGACCTCTGCGGATAGCAAGGCGGCCTTGAGGGCTAAAAAGGAAGTTCGCGTATCGTCACCRAAGTCAAACGGTYGATCCTCGCATTGAAGCTTCGTCAAACGGGCCGTGATCTTCGAATAGCCTTTGATAAAGTGTTGATAGTACCCGAGTAGGCCACGAAACGAACTAGCATCCGTAACGTTCTTCGGCCCCACCCATTCTTGGGCGGCTTGAATCTTGTYCGATAACGGACTAATGTCGTCTACTGTGACAAAATGATTCAAGTACTCCACCTCTTACCGTACGAATTCACACTTGTCGCGGTTGGCTTTGTAATTGGCGCGGCAAAGCGTCTCCAACAAGCGTCGAAGATGCTCGAGATAGTCCTCCAAGGTCCGACTATAGACGAGAATGTYGTCCAAGTAGACCAGCACAAACCGGTCCAACATCGCGCGGAACTCGCTAGTCATCGCCGCTTGAAAYGTCGTTGGGGCATTGGTGAGGCATGACAACCCACTCAAAATGTTTGTACCACGTCTTGAACGCGGACTTGTAGCGATCTTGCGAGCATACCGAAATYTGATGATAGCCCGACTTCAAGTCCAACTTGGAAAAAAACTTTGCGCCGCCCAARCGCTCACTAATATAGTCAATACGACAAAAAGGCCCCGCATTCTTGACRGTTTGCTCGTTGAGCTTGCAATAGTYGATGCACAAGCGAAGATCCTGTTCTTCTTCCGTACGAARAGAACTGGCACACCATATGGTGAGCTACTAGGGCGGATCCAACCCTTTTCCAACAAGTCATCAAGTTGGGCGTRGAGAAGCGTGAACTCCTCGCTCACGCGATAGTTGCATCCTTTCGGCGGCGCGGCACCAACATTRAGAATGATCTAATGGGGGATTGGTCGATCYGGTACCACACTGGTAGGAGGCTCGAAGACATCGGCGAACTCGTCAAGCAACCGCACCACGCGGGTGTCCGAAGACAAGTCCATAGGTGAAGAGTCGATCACTGCGATGGTCCTAAAAAAACATAGGTCGATCTCGTCGGTCCGCTCATRAGCACAAGTGGACCGAAAAGACTTTGGYCGTCACAACTTGGCACCAGATSGAAAGGTACACAAGACGGATGATACACGGCACCTCGGCGCCGAAGGCATCCCGAACGGTAAGCGTCCGCAGATGGAAGTTGACCGTGTAGTCCGCACTTACGAGCCAAAGCATCCCCAAAATAATGTTGAAGTCTGTGTCCAAGACGCCAAATGTAACCGGCCCACATGCATGAGGTGCGAAATAAACCGACACAGCTTCAATGTAGCGATCACGAAGTTGTTGCATCCAACCGTCCGCCATCTTGACCGTCGTAGGATGTGACTTCCTTCGAACTTGTGCGCCAAGGTCGGCCCTTTGTATAAAGGACTAGTTCATGCTTGCCGGTAATAAGCAACCGGACTGCTGCCCCCCAAAATAGATGGGGCGTGTTTAAAAAAATAAAAAAAAATAAAAATTGAGTCGTGTCACTATCTAGCAAAGCGCTGCAGGATGTTTGCCCAACTTGGATGCGGACATAAAGGAGTGGTGTGTTGTTGTCATCATACCACTGTGTGCGAAACTCGTCGGCCACCTTGGTAATCTATGTGAGGAGATGGGCGCATAGTGTTGCGCATTGCAATCCCAGTAAGCGTCCCGTGGAAGGGAGAGGAAGCCATGCAAAATCCTCAAACAACAACGGGTCCAAGACCTCCATGTTGAACTCGCTTGCCGAATCCCTTGAAGAACCACTTGAAGACGGTAAATTGTCACCACTTCCGGGCTGAGAAGAAACCGCAACACAAATTTTGTCCTTGAGCTAGAGAACCCAGCGATGGAACGAGCCGGGCAGCGAAGTCCTCGAAAGAATGAAGAATGAGAAGGACATACGACTTTCGCATGTGCCTCAAAACTTAGGGAGGTCACTCGCGAAGCAACCGGTTCCGAAGGCGTCGAGAGTGCAGCCGTATCACTCTTGGGTGCGCTGACTTTTCAGAAAGGGACTTTTCCTTGGCTCTTGCGGTACAGCTGGCCGTTTCGTGAAGGTCGTTGCTGCACCATAGACAATACAGGTATCTTGTGCGGATCTTGTAAACGCCCTCCGACAGACCGTAATGTGACCAAGGTTCTTGAGCTGCTTGTCCGGGCCCGAAGGATGAAGCGATGTTTGTCCTCGATTTGCCGCATCCTCGACCTTTGGCGGGGCGGCCACCATCCCCGGCGGCTGCTAATCTTTCTCCCTCATTTGATGGAGCAGCCTCGTTTGAAGAATTGGTTGGGGTTGTCGCTGCAACCACGACCACTTTCGGCCGATGCTGATCTCTGTCCCGGCCTGCATAAGACGAACGACCAGCATTGCAGGCCTCCGTGTTCGTCACAATTATTTGTGAAGCCTTGTTGATGAGTTCCTCAATTGTGGTGAGAGTCTCCGCAACTTGCGTCAATGCATTCTGCAACGCCAGGCACGACCTCGAGATGAAGCGTTGGTACTCTGTGATCCAGTCGAGCGTGGATGCCAAGCGTTGGTACTCGGTGATCCAGTCGGGCGTGGATGCCAAGCGTTGGTACTCGTTGATCCAGTTCAAGCTTGGCAAGGTGTTCTGATAGAACTTTTGGAGTTTCTCCATTCACCTGAAGCTCGGGCGGCTCCACTTGGAATCGATTGTGCCATGCTGCCTTGAGATCCTGCCAGCTGATCTTCGTGTGCAGCTCGGAGACTGTGATCTTGTGAGTGGACAGCATGTTGTCCAGCCATGCTTGGCATGCGCCCCCCAACTGGTGATATAAATACGCGTGTCGGCGAGGGTCGCTGGTCTTGTTGATGTGCAATACGAGTTCAAACTAGCGCCACCAAGGAATAGGCTCGGTCTTCGCTGCGTTGCAGAAGATCAGAAGGCCATCGAACTTTGGTATGCACTAGGGAGGCAACAAGGTAGGTTCGGCGACTGCTGCACAAATCTGCTGTTCAAGCTGCTGATTTGTTGCCCGCTGCCGCTGAGCGAGGTCCTTTAAAGTGCCTACATCATGCTCCAGAATGTTGATGCAATCGACGAAGTTGGAGGGGCCAGCATCTGGAGTGGCAGTGGGTCATTGTTCCAGCAGCTGTATGCGGCTGGTCANATGCTCCAGAATGTTGATGCAATCGACGAAGTTGGAGGGGCCAGCATCTGGAGTGGCAGTGGGTCATTGTTCCAGCAGCTGTATGCGGCTGGTCAACTGTGCGACCGTCTGYTTGTGGCCATGGACCGCGTGGTTGAGGCAGTGGATGTCCTCCTCATGTGCAATGCAAGTATCCAGGAGGGGTCCGTGMRGCGTGAAAGCGCTTTCCTTCTTAAATACCTTGTCACCTTGTTGTATGTGTTCCTCATCGGCAGCCTTCGCCGCTGCTTCGTCTTGCTTCTGGCGTTGTTCCTCCGCAAGACGACGTTGTTTCTCTGCCTCCTCCTCCTCTTTCTTCCATCAGGCTGTTGCCGTGTCTGCCCGCTGCTTGATTTCTGCCATCAAGGTCAGCATCCGGGCCTCGTAGGCCTCGGTTGTTTCCCCTTGCTTCTGGGCATCTGCCACGGGACTGCTGACATGGCACTGACTACTGTTGGCGTGATACTGATTGACTGCTGACGTGGCAAGGCTGTAGGCCGACGTGTCGCTGACATGTCACTGCTGCCATGGCCTGTTGATGTGGCCTGCTGATGAAGCAGAAGACAGGTGGGAGGAGAGAGAAGAGTAGAAGAGAGACACAGCAGCGTAGATGGGGTGGGTGGGAGAGGGGAAAGTAGGAGAYGTAATGTACTAGCACTTCCCCACCCCCATGGGGTCACACTGATCACCCAAATAAGGAGCCACTAATCAATTTTGAAAAGTTAGAACTTTGCTTAAATAATAATAATTTCAAAAATAAAATAAAAAAACAAAATCGCAAGTTCGRTAGGTCTCCMAATTGCAAGGAATATGAGCGAGAGCGATAAGACAGAAAACCAAGTTGCAAAATCACACAGAAGTCTAGATAGTCATATACCAAGCAGAGAGCATAAATGCACCAAGATTCCATCCACATAAAAGCAATACAATGAACTCGTGAGCTAATGTCCAAGCCCTCAGGCCACACCAACGCAGTATCCAATATCGCTCTTACTGTATGGCGCCCAGCGCCCAGCCTACTCTACTCAGCCTATCTATCCTATCTACATTTGTGCAACAGGATCACTTCGCCGTCGAAGACCAATGTACATGWCATCAACACGAATGCCGACCTCCCACATACACCAGGTACGTTCTATGTTCTCCCCTCATCAGACCCCTTGTCCACCCACTCATGCGCCTCCTTCCCTGAAGACCACCATCGCCCATCACCTGCCCGTGCCCCTGCAGCCCGGCTATGGCCGCTAAGTGCCCCGCTGCCCTGCAGCACCCTTCACCTCATAGCGCCTGCTTGCGCCCCAGCCAGCATGCACTAATGCAGACACCTGCACAGCAACACATCAACGTGTCCGCCTTGCCTGACTAGGCCAGAATGCCAGACTCTGGCCGGCCTCCTTCCTATATGGGAGTCGCTGCCTTGCTGGGCTGCCTGGGCCTGGCCGAGGAAGTTTTAGGTAGCTTCCAGTCGGGCCCCAGTGCCTGCGACCAGGCCCACTTCTACAGTTAAGGGCCTCGGGCGCTTTGCAGTTAGGCTCATCCAGGCCGACGTCCAGGCACAAATGTTTGCTGCATTCTCATTGGCTCACGGCAGTTGTGTGACGACAATACTGCTTTCTCATTCGTCCGCGGCCACTGCGTGATGTGTCGGCCTCACAATGCATGCGCCCAGGGCGCAACCACCCGGCCCTGGGCTCAACTGTGCAGCACAGCCCTTGTTTCTGGAAAGGGCCTGTGGGCTCGTGTTTCCCTCTAACCAACTGGCGTGCTGCAACTGTCTGATACCCACATTGGAAAATGCTGAGATAAGGGCCTCTTGTGGATATTCAGGCCCGCCTTCACTTAGGGCGGGCACGAGACTTGCTGGGGGCCACAGTCCAGAACATCATGTTGGCCCAAYGAGCCTCGCACAATCCCCAAAATCCCGAAATTGAAATAATTAAAAAAATGTCAAATTTCAGACTGCAGRTAATCAGAGAAACGAATAAAATAATTGAACTGCCAAAAAAAAATTATCAAGTTCAGGTAATTCAGAATTTAGAAACAAATGAAATTCGGAATAATTCAGATAAGGACCAGGGAAGGTCCCAGCGAAAAAAACATAAAATTAATAAACTCCAAAAAATCCGGAAAAAAAAAACTATGTTACGCAGAAAAATAAACTGAACAACTTTTGCCTCAGGGTCGCATCGAAATTCTTCACCAAAATTAGAATAAAAATTAAATTTAAAAATATGTTTTTCATTTTTATTTTCTTATTTTTTTGGCCTGGCCAGGCAAGTGACCCCGGGCCACTCCGGTAGCCTAGAAAATTTCGGAATGTTATAGCAACCTGAAAATTTTGAATTCCTAAGAAATGMAAGAATTGAAACTTCAGCTACTAATTAATGCGTAAAAAAGATTTGAAAGCGAATTAACGCAAGGAAAGGATTCCGAAACTGAAAAAAAAAAATCGGATTTATCAAGCAGTAATTTCAAGAGAAAAAGAATCAAAATTTTCAGCTACTGTGCAATTTCGAATTTACAACAATTTCGAAAAACGAATCTACGCCAAAGAAAGAATTCCGAAAAAAAGAAACAAAATTTGGAATTGGCAGTTAGGTCATCAATCGCAAATGGGAACTAATTAGGTTAATCTAATCAATCCATCAATCAATCAATCAATCAATCAATCAATCAATCAATCAATCGATTGATCCTTCCCTTCCGCGCGTCAGTTGAGCAATGTATAGGGAGCCAAGGATCCGCAAAGTGATGAGAAGGACTCGAATGGACAATGCAGCGTCAGCAAAAGCATCAACAAGCAATGTTCATCCAGATACATATGAAAATAGCACAATGTAGCGCTGCGGAAGACTAAAGATATGACCTGACCTGTCAGATACTGACGCGACATCCCATCATACACCACACATGTGAGAGAGGGAGGAGGGACCACATACACAGAAGAAAGGACCCTCGTTGCACACGCACATGGGGGAGATACCACAGATGAGAGATGGGGGGAGAGGCGAGACGATGATGGAGGTGAGGGAGAAGACCAAGATCGCGATATCGAAGTCCAAAAATAGACTCCCTGCCGAATGTCCAATCAATGTCTGCCACAAAAACGTCGAATCAGATCCTGGGCCTGATGCCCGACATAACCTCTGCCGGTAACCTCTCCGAAGAAGAAGAAGAAGAAAGGAGGGAGAAGAGATGGAGGGCGAGACGACGAAGAAGAAGAAGATGTCGTCCTCCTCGCTGTCTCACCTGCAGCTAACTGCCACCATGTACTGACCGTTGTCATGTCCCTGTGCAGGTCGCTGGCATGGAGCTCAGCTATGCCGCCCAGGTTAGTACCCCCGACGCAGGTATGGCCTCCACTCCTCTGCCTACCTACACCTCTACCAGCGTAGTGTTGTAGTGTCTCAGCGCTGTTCTAGCAGCGTATCGCCAAAGAAGTGAGCTACTCCAACTGTGTCCTGCCCTGGTCTTGCCCAGCTACTTGTAGGTCTGGGCCTCGCTGGTCTGCCTGCATGTGCCTCTGGTCTTGGCCTCAAACATGGCTTGCCTAGGTCCCTACCGAACATCCAGGCCCTCCCTGCTGATGTCGGACAAACGCAGACCTGGCCCCAAAGGGCCTGCTTGCGTCCGTACCAGGCCCAAAGTGTGGCCTTTGTCCGAACAGACACAAGGTCTGTTCGGACGTACTGCAAGTCCGAAACGATGCCTGAACAGACAAAAATAGGACAGCACATAAATAAATAAATAAATAAATAAATAAATAAATGAATTCTGTCTGTTTCGGACAAAGGCCACACTGTGGGCCTGGTACGGACGCAAGCAGGCCCTTTGGGACCAGGTCTGCGTTTGTCCGACATCAATAGGGAGGGCCTGGACGTCCGGTAGGGACCCCGGCAGGCCACGTTTGGGGCCAGGACCAGAGGCACATGCAGGCACACCAGCAAGGCCCAGCCCGCCTTGGGCCTCCAGGGCGCACGCCTGAAGTGCGTGCGGCCTGGGGCCCCCCAACAACCGTCGGGCCCCCAAAATGGGGCCCGTGTGCAGGCTCAGCATGTAACATTCCCTGTACATAACCCTTCCCTCAGCAACAAATCAAACAGCAACTCTGTCAAAACTTAATAGTCGCCGAAGTCAAACTACGCCATTGAATTCTTCTTTACACTGTCAGATCGCTATTCTGTGAGTTCAAGAACTGGCTGCCACAATGGCAGGTTGCCAAAGGAACTGTCCAGACAACATGGTCACTGCAGAGCCAGGTTGCCAGAGTTCTGGCTGTCAGGATTAATGATTTGCTGCAGTGATGGCAGTCGGAGCTGTTCTGTTCCTGAGACAAAGCAAAACAAACCAATTGACATCCAACTTCTCCTGTCCATACAAATAAGCAATACTTAGGGCCTCACTCCACTACTCACCAAATGTGCAACAATCGTTTTTGTCTTTTCTGCATGTGGTGAGTAGTGGAGCGAGGCCCTTAACCAGCACGTGGCCGTTGTTTATGCCCCCATAAGAGAGGCCCATCAACAAATTGTTCATTTGTCAGAAAAGTACTGCTCTGGAGTTTGTAGTTCCACGTTGACTTTTGGTTTACGGAACTCAAGTCAAAACATCTAATMAAGTGACTCGCGCATTGCCACCTCTGTTCCAGAACAATGCTCAGTCTCTTCCGCATAGTTCCAGCTCAAAGTTCTCCATTGCAAACAAAACAGGCGAGTTGCAATTTGGACTTTCTTCCTTGTTAATTGTGAAAACAAGCTCATGGTTTTGTCTATTCCCCTACATCTCCTATCTTGTATCAGTAAGCATTTATCTTTTGCTTCAGCAATTGCAGAGAAACTCACCTGACATTGAGCTGCCTTCATCGGAAAACGGAAAAAGCTCTCAAGGAGCGCCAATGTGGAACTGAGGTTGCTACGCCATCAGCAAGGTCAAAATGGGAGGGTGAAGAATTGCAGTGCGTTATAAATGCCCATCCACCAACAATCTCCATTCAACCATTTAAAGCACCAGTATTTCAAAGGCTTCTTTTATCAGCGCTCGATTTGCCCACCCTCTAAACTCCAAACAGGCACGTTTGAGGGCCGAACAATGGGTGTCGCCATCCTTTTCGGTCCGGTAGGCAGAGCCTATCCAAAGCACCAGGGTAGCTGAAGGGTGTGCACGGCCTAGCTGGTCCGAATATTGGTGGTCTAAAGGTGCAAGCTGCATGTGTCTGTGTGGTTGCATTGGGAGTGCCCACACATCCAGCTGCCATATGCACACTTGCACTGTAATACTGGGCAGCGTCATATATCTAAACTGACACACTGGGGACTGTGGCTGAAGCCTTGATCTCTACCCGCATCACATCTAAACCCRGACATCTGCGCCCCTGTGGCCGAGCCTATACAAAGAACTAGGATGAACTGAAGGGTGTGAATCGCCAGCGCAAGAAGTGGGACATCCCTGTCACTAGGATCCTTGCCCTTCCCTGAGGAAATGTGGCAGAGCACAATMGAGCGCACGACCTGTTCCTTCGACTAACAAAGCAAAAAACTCACTCGCTCCATCCTTRAATCAGGGTTTCGATTATCAGACACTTTGCTGACACAGTTCAGTTACACGTGATTACATGACATGCCAAAAGCCATTAGAGAGAGTAGGCAAGAATTGCTCAGAAACATCTTCTGTCGGTAGCCTCCAAGAACCATCTAACATTTTTCTTAACAACCTGCATTACAGATTCGGTTGCCTAACCGAATGTCTAACAAGGAGCTCCCCTAGCTGCAGGGCGGGAAAATGAAAGAAGCTGCACACGAGAGCAGGAAAATGAAAGAAGCTGCAAGCGAGGGATCAGACAAACGTATCGCTCAGCAAAATTTGTCAGAGCATACACATCTCCGGACATGTACAGTGCTTGCACGCTGCTGCATCAGCAAGTAGTTCTTCCACGCTTCAAGACAGCTCTGTGGGAAAGACAGCCTCCTACAGAAACTTCCACTGCACAAATGAGACCTCTTACGGATGGCCTTCAGAGAATGAATGACTCAGCAGGTATATCACAGTATACAAGGACTTTGAACCCCTCGGGCTGCTTCTATGGTTACAGCTGCATCAACAATGCTCCTTGCACTCTTCAATTCCTTCTACAGAAGCATCGCCCTCTGATTCAGAAAGCAAAGACCTCAGGTCTTGAAGAGCATTACCAAGCCTTCTGCGGCAATCAGGTATCAACATTTGGGACTCTGCAAGCACGTTTTCCTGCTGCTTGATGTCAAAGGGATCCCTCCCTCTGCTTTCATCTTGTCTACTTTCACCTGCTCTCTTGCGACTTCCTTATCATATGATTGGAGCTCTTTCAACACCTCTTGTGCACATCCGTCTTAAACTTCAGTTGCTTCTTCATATCCATCCCGGGGAAACTTCAGAGACCACGGTGCCAGACAGAGCAAATGTTCACACAAGGTGACAATGCTTCCTTTCCTCTCCCCCGATGCGCCGTCTCTAACCAACCCACCTCTCGGTTTGTCGCCTGCACTGATTCCATAAATAAAACCAGCAGCAACAAACAGCAAGAACACCCGTGGTGCTGAGATGATGAAATCACTGCCAGTTAATTAATAGAGACAAGTTGCTTACATGACCTGGAATGGGCGTTGTAAAAGACAATTCGACTTAGCATGATCCTTCACTGCTGCCTTCAAACAGAAGAGAGTCCGGCTATCGCCTGCAACAATTTGATAATAACAACGAAGGGAGCAACATCGACGAACATACACATTTGTCTCCCAACTCGTCATTTCGAACAGGAAGCAATCTAGAAGCTACTTGGAGTAACCAACCATCGACATCACCACCAGGAAAAGAGAAATTCCTAATCCTCTCACGACAGAGAAGGATAGCAAAGAGCATTTGAAGACCAAATCACCACGGAAATGGAGATCGTCAGTGCAGAAGACAAAAAAAAATCACTCATGGCAATTCCTGCAGAAAACGCCAGCCGCTTTACCACGCCACCAGTGACATGCTCTCATACTTCACATCAAGGCTTCCACTACAAAKCCCGTGGCGTGCGGCCTCCAGATTCAAACGGTCCACATCTCTGTTCCACCTAGAGGAACCACCTACTACTACCAGGGCCTCATAAATCGAACAGGGATCAGCTGACTGTCAAGGGTAGACTTGGAACCCCAAGACATATTATCTAACATGACGAGACATCACACATCCTCCAGGTAACAAGATCGCAACACTGTGCCATGCACGACATGCTGTGAAGAATGATGTCATAGAAACCTCCCTGGGCACGAAATTCGGTGCACACAGATACAACAGAAGTTTGTGGAGGTGCACAAATCCACAGCTGGAGGGARAAAGCTGGTGCCTACCAGGTTGGATCGATTTGGAAAAGCATGCCCCTAATACTGACTATCTCTATTCTGGAGAAGAAAGAGAAGGAGAGCACCTAAAGACCCCGGGGGCACCTTGTTTTCCAACCAACAGCATCCAATATGCACAACCACTCTCATTGAAGAAGAAAGAGAAGCAGCACCTCAAGACCCTGGGGGGACCTTGTTTTCCAACCAATGCGGCAGGATCACTCCACTCTGTTCCATTGCAGCGCATATCCTGTCACCACAAGTAACCGATTGTCAACCCATTTCAACTTTTGTGGAAAGTAATTCTCCCCGGTATTTGATCTAAACTTCAGACTCCATACACACCCCTGAAGAAATAGTGACCAAAATGTGCAGCCTTCCATGCATTTCGTATGGAAACTCTTCGAACTCCTTCGGGATTCCGCTTCGGCTAAAAATGTCACAACTGTGACCTCAAGAGACTAGTTCGTCAGAAAAGCRACTAACGCTGCAGGATGACTGTCGAAGCAGCAGGCAGGAAGATGGACATGGTCGAAGATGGGTGCCCAAGAAAACACACACAAAGCATCTYATCTAGCTGCTGCATCAGAGAGCACTGCCGACTTGGCATTATCGATRAAGGACTTGACTTTACTTAAGTCCTTTCGCACACCATCTATCCCAGCAACCCCACTCGAAACATCGACCAAATCCGGAGAAAGAATCCGGACCGCTGTCCTCACATTACCAGGGTGGAGACCACCTGCTAGCCACCAGCCATACTTGGAGATATTCTGTGGAACTTTCAGCCTCTCCCAGTCAATGCTCACACCGCTTCCTCCAGACAGACCACATCAATCAGCACCCAGTCAGCACGTCGATTAACAAGCACACCATGACCACCACCTTCTTCAGGAGTCAGCGACCCAGTTAATCCCAACAGTGAAGCTGGCTGCAGTGTCCCATGTTTGTCAGCGTTCAAAACATACACCACTTGCAGCCAATCTGGCAGATCACCCAATGCACGCATTGCACCATCTCCATGGAGTTGAGCAACGGCTATGCCAGCGGACGTACACGAATTAACTATCTCTTCAACTCCCTCCTCCACAAAGACACCCACAGGAACAGCTCCATGTTCCTTTGCAGCGTTGGCCACATCAACTGCTTGCTGACGGGAGATTGAGCGCTTAGACTTCGGCCACAAAATCATGCCAACGAAGTCAGCACCACACCTTGCCGCCCACGTGGCATCCTCTGGATAAGCTACACCACAAATCTTGACAGAAATCTGGGAATGAACAGACGACTTCTGTTCCTCACGTTCATCAGGCAATGTCACACCTGTTGTCTGCTGCTGGTGCTCTGGAACAGCACATGCCGCAACACCGATGCCCACACGACTTCCATGCCGTTGCTTCATGGCGCAATCCATGCCATTCTCTTCTCCTTTCGCCAACACCTTCACAGTTCTGTTATGGCTTATAAAGCGGCGATGGGGCACCATTGTTGAAGTCATCAACGTTTGACGACAGAAGCCCTYAAAAGACTTAGGAAAAGAGGTCCACCGTTGACAACTACGTGATGTTGCCTCACCGAGAATGATGTTCCCACTTCGCCATCTATCCCTATGAGAGGGGCGGACATTAGCGAATAAGCACCTGCTAGTCGTGACCCCAATAACACTRTCCATTCTTGACGTATAGACTACAGAGTTTGAGCTTTCCAAGACGGTATTTGTAACCCAGGTTGTGACAGGCACCTGCGCACCATTCCAGAGGGGGATGGGTCACACAATAAACCCCATCCAAAAGCCATGCTTGATAACAAAGACTCTCACACAGCAGAACCATTTATTTATTCCTTTGCCAGCTCACAGTCAAAAAACAGAAGCAAAGAATGAATTCCAGTAGGGCTATAGCCTAGATGGAGCCCACGTCGCTACCCCAGTGACTTGTCATATACTTTCACCCACACACACCGTGCATATCACAGGTAAATAATTTGTATGTGTTGATATAACATGATAATAATCAAAGCAAATGAGAGAACACTCCTATTAACAAGGCTGCACAGCAAGGGGCAAAACAAGAACGAAAATCTAGGGGATGAGAAAGGTGGAAATATACAACAGGTCACCACGACAACAAGGAGAGGAAAAGCGAGACACAGGTTGGCTGCAAGCAGCGCGTTGAATTAAGCCAGCCAGCCAGTTCTCAAACGCAGATGTACTAGATAACCCGTCGCAGCTTCGCTTGCAAGAAAAAAACAGGTGTTCCATGGGAGGAACGTTATTTTTCATGTGCTGTGTCCAAAGACCCGCACAGTTGCAGTCTGAGAACTCAGCACTTTTCTGAGGAAATGCTGTCCTGTTGATCCGTTTGGTGAGAATTCCAATCCCCAGTCTGTTTGCWGTGTTTTTTAAATATGAATGTGATCAGCCAATGTTGTATGTATTCCTGCTTGCCTGCTCTCTCTCTCTCTCTCTCTCTCTCTCTCTCTCTCTCTCTCTCTCTCTCTCTCTCTCTCACACACACACACACACACACACACACACACACATAGAGGTAGAAGGGTAATCGCGACTCGTTTAGTCGCATGCCATGGACAGGACGTGTTTGCTGTGATAGTAAAACCT